AAGATTTATTTATTATTTATGCAAACAGCACTGGAGTACAAACCAGAGGTGCAGGGGTGGTGAGAGGATTCACCAGGGTCAGAATGGGAAGCAGAACAGGCAGATTGATGAAATACACTGCTGAGGGCTGGCCAGGAGAAGTCTGCTGCGCCATGTGGGTCATCTCTGGGGACTGGGGTTCTAACTCGCACTGAAGTGTCTGTGGCCAGCTTGTAGTGCTGCATCCTAACCTGTTGAGCCACCAGGGAGGGCCATTCATCACTCTAACTGTTTGATGTTCATGAAAATCTCTAAGGAGACTCAGCAGAAAAATAAGAGATGCTAGAAACACTTTTGATGTGTTTAAAGATTCTAATTTTTTTAAATATATTTGCATTGAAAGAATTATGCTCCAGTCAAAAAAAAAAAAAAAATGGGCAGAAGTGCTCAATGTGCACTTATTCAAAGAAAACATACAAATGGCCAACAGGGCCATGAAACAATGATCATCCTTTATACTCAGGGCAATTCAAATAAAAACCATAATGAAATACCATCTCACACCTGTGAGAATTGTCCATACGAAAAAGACAAGAAACAAGTATTGGTGAGGATGTGGAGAAAAAAGAAACCTAGTCCACTCTGGGAATGTAAACTGCTCAGGTCCCTGTGGAAAATTCATGGAGGCATCTCAACATATTAAAAATCCATCTACTATACGGCCCAGCAATTCCACTCTTATCTACCTGAAGAATGATAAACTAAGACACTAATTTGAAAGGAAATATGCACTCAATGTTCATTGCAGCAATATTTACAATAGGCAACTTATAGAAACTGCCTAAGTGATCAAAAAAAGCTGAGTGGATAAAAAAAAAGATATGGTGCAGATGGATGGAGGGATAGAGATTCAATGGAATATGCAACTATAAAAAGAGGTAAACTCTTGTCATATGTCACAGCACTGATGAAACTGGAGGGATTTTGCTAAGTGAAATAAGTTTTAAGAATAACAGATACTGGTGATTTGCCTCATATAAGGAGTATAGAAAACTAAGCATAGGAACAGACAATCCAAACCACAGACCATAGTAATCTGACTGTAGAACTGAGTCTCCCAGAATATAAAGGTAAAGGGTGGAGAGCAGAGAGAGGAAGGTCAGTGACTGTGGATGGTGAATGTTATGTGTTTTTGGGTGGTGGGTGTGGAGTAGTGACAGACATTTGAAGAGGTTTGAACCCATACCCCTAAAGCATATGTTTACCATGTAAATAAACTGATACATAATTTCATTTAAAAAAGAAAGTGGTCTTTTGATAAATAAGTGTAGTGACAAACAGTGCTATGAAGATTTACACTTGAAAAATTTTTTTTTTTACACTTGAAAATTTTATATTAAAGTGGATTTCATTCTTAAAAGCAAGATAGTAGTCTGTATAATCTGCCATTCAATATAAGAATGAAGACAAAAAATTAGAAAAAATGTGCATGAAGCCTAATAATAAACTTTGTTATATTTTATTGTCTATGTATTTATATTGTCATGAGATAATGGCTGGCCTTAAATTGTACGTTCACTCAGCAATTATATAATTACAAGTGATATAAAATTTATTAATATAGTTAGTTAGGTAACACACCCAGAAAGACAAACAGTTTCACATGAAAGGGCTCAACTATTCCTTTTATTATAAGTTACACTTGAAGTAATTATATATACACTTTATATTTGTCACATCATGTTCATTAAACCAAGCAGGTTGTATGAAAAGAAATAATCTAATGTATTTTTAAAACCTACACCTGAATTAAAAAGCATTCCTTTTGTCACTAGAAAATACATTAAAATATGCAGTATTCTTACAATGAAAAAATTATAAAATGCAGCCACAGAACTTTATTTTGTCAGGTTCATTAGATGCTTAAATAGAAAAAATAAAACTTTAATGGATTCAAATAGCTTCTACATGTTAAGGAGATGTCATTTTTTTTTAATTAAAGAGAAAATAGATGTTGCATTTAGTATATTTCAAAGTTATTTTGTGTATTCACCGCAAAATGCAGCTCCAGAAAATATAATTTTCTTATTCATAAGCACAAAACATGGAAAAATACAATTTAGTCACTAAGCAGTTTTTAAAAGAAATATTTGGGTTGCTTAAATCAGTAATTCTATGAGTTAAAAATAAAAATGGACACATTAAAATATTCATAATTTAGAGCCTTCTCCACAGAATTTATAAATATAATGACTATTAGTAATTTAAGTCTGCTAAAATGCATATTTTTGTATAAGATGCAAGACGATCATCTACCATATATTAAAATGTTTTTAATAATCTTTAAAACTGTATTTTTATGTATTTATGCATACAATAACTGGGTGTAGGCCAAAGAGTTGGGGATGTTAGAGGATTCACTAGAGACAGAACAGGCAGACCTACTGAACAGGCAGACCTACTGAAATACACTGCCGAGGGGAGCAGTGGGCAAGACAGGAGAGGCCTGCTATTTCATGTGGGTTAGCTACCTGGGTGGGGATCAATTTCCTGCTCCAGTGACTACTGATAGCTTGAGACTTAATCCCTTTCACCACCAGGAAGGCCCTATTAAAATGATTTTTTAAAAGATTATAATCCTCTAAAAATTTTCAATTACATTAATTGAGGAAGGTTCAAGAGGTTTATGGGAAGTATTGGGGTTAATACGATAGATAGCAAATTAACAAGACGGATACACTGGGATAAGAAAAATAGAGGTACATAAATAAATCTAAGCCAGAATTTAAATGCTCTATTGAAAGTATACCAAAAATATTTGTGGGTATATCAAACATTATATACACATTGTATCAAACATTAGATATAACCAGTAGTTGAATGAACAATGGGTATTGTATAAGAAAGATAACATGATGTGGGCCCTAGTTCTATTGCTTATCAGAACCTCTTTTTGAATTCAGATAATTAACTAAATTATATAGCAAGTAAACAATGTTCTTTTCATTAGTTTTTCACAACAATGAAATAAGTCAAACAGATAACTTTCACTTTAAGAAATAACATTGCAATTAGTTCAGCTCTGATGACCTATTAATATCCTCCCTAGTAGTGAATGTTGATTGTCAGTGAGATACTATATAGCCAAATGAGTTAATGGAATAGTCGGCAGGGAGTTTCCCTTTATCAGATGACTATTCAGATTCCTTAGAAAAGTATAAACCCACGATAACATTACTATTTACTCTACATCAATATACTTTCCCTGGAAAGAAATTCCTACTTTTTTGCCTTCACCAATATCTTGATGGAAGAAATGGTAACATAGATGCTCCCCCAAAATGAAATACTAAAAAAATTCTAAACATCTTCCCAAAGATGGGTGAAAAGTATGGGGCATGGAGAGAGAAGAGAAGAAATTAAGACAGTGAGTAAAATGTGTCATATTGTGCATGAGACTAAAAGGGAAGGCATGAGAAATCCTAGGACATTTAGCAAGTAAAGTAAAATAATTGTCACATGTGCAGCCAGGCCAGAAAGGTGTTAGCTAAAGAAAAAATAAACAGCAGAATTCATTTAACAGTTCAAAAAGAATAATAAAATCAGTTGTTTTCAGTGTGATTATATCCTGTGTTCACGGCAAGAAGCAAGGAATTGAGAGGAGAGAGGAAAGACAGGAAGGTTCTAAAAACAAAGTAAAACCAAGTGTAATCTGTATCAGTGCTATATCAGTGTCACTCAGGATAGGATCTAAATACTTCTTGCAATTTGCGGATATTCGCTCCCATACTTTAGGGGTTGGGGAAAGTTAGCACTTTTTTGGACTTCACCCTGCATGAAGTGCAAGATGGTCTAAATTATACTACAGCAGAATAAAGGCAAATGAAAGGTTTTTGTTCATGTGAGTTTCCCTCTGTATGTTCAGACAAAATGCTAAAAGCATACAGAATGCCCTCATTTCAACTTCTGTAGAGAGGCCATAAAGCAATGAGACTCTGGCCCTGGGATTTTTCTCTGTAACCCAGACCATGCTCATTCAAGAATGAACCTACAGTGGCTTGATCAGAAGATTTTCAATATCAGATGGAGGAAGTTTATGCTTATCTCTTAATCATTTAGACCTTTTTAGAAAAATCACTGTTGTAAGTTGCACGTGACTTTTCCTCATCTATACTCTCCTCTAATGCCCTGCTGTTATTAGTACATGGTTCAACAGCCGCCTTTTACCTTCTGAGGTTTGAACAAACAGAAGTGTTCAGGAAGTGACAGAGATGATGTACAATCTAACAATCGACTAAAATAACAGATTTGAATTTATACAGTTTCAACATCATAGCTGTCATGTACTTAGTACAGATTTAGAAACTCCAGAATGAGTTGGAAGATGCTGTTAAATTTTTGTTCATGTGTAGTTTCAACATACTTTCTAATAATAATAATTCATTCTAAGTTCATATAGAATTCATTAAGGCTGTGGGAGATTTTAATTCCCACCAAATTATTTCTCTGCTATATCTACAAGCTACTTGTGCTGCATTTCTAATAAGTAGTTAATTGTTTGCACTTGTAATGATTAGGTGACATCAAAATCTTAAATCAAAAACAAACTTACAAATATCTCTCATTTTTATTAACTACGAGGAACTTCAACATGCTTGACATTCTTTTCTGAATGTAATATTTAAAATAAAGCTTCCGTTAAATAATTATTGACAACATGAAAGAACCATTCAAATTATGTTGACAACAACATCACTTCTCCTACAGTAGTTTCTGAGTCCTGACTATGGTTAGAGCTGATACCAGTGTCTGAGTCTGTGTCATTGGTATACATGATAGATATTCTTGGAGTAGAGGGTGGACCTTCCCCACAGCTGTTGGGAAGCACTGATTCCTCGCTTCTGTTTTCCTTTGTCTGGCTCCCATCCTTGTTAATATGAAGTGAATTGAACTCCTTGGCAAGGAGTTCATATTCTTTTGCTTTCATCTGAAGCAATGAGTCACTGTATTTAATCTCTTTCTGGATGCCGCTCAAGTGAGAGTGGATTTTTAAACCAGCTTTCATGCTTTCCTCCAAATCACACTTTACACTTTCTAAATTTGAGCTTTCAAGTTCATTTGCAGCTGCCCCTTCTTCGTCTTCATTTATCTCACTGCAAACGCTTTTTACCTCTTTTTCTATTTCAGCTGAGAGCTTGTCAATGAGCATCCTGTAATATGTTAGTCGTTCTTCCAGCTGTACAATTCCATCACCTTCACTCAGGTCCTCCAGTATCTGGAGTTCATCACACTGTAAATTTAAGTTTTGCTCAACTTCTCTGAAACTAGGCATTAAGTATGCATCCTGCACATAATTCTCTCCATCATTTTCTACCCGATCAAGGTGGAACTTAGCTTCACACTTTTCTATTTCCAGATCCAGCTCTTTCATTCTCTTGACTTGCTGGTGAATAGTATGGTCCTGGGAAATAATTAGATGAACTAATGTCTCCATATTATCTCGATCATGGGAAACAGTGTCCTGCTTAATTTTAGCCAGTTTCCTGAAAGTCTTTCTGACAATTCTTTTTTGTTTATCTGGTGGTAATGTTTTCATGTAATTGGCTGGGCTGAGCTCCCACATTTTTTCTGTGTTTTGCACTAACTTGGCTTCTGCTGTCCGCCACAAAGGCACTGGCAAAAAAGCATCTGCTTTCACCAAAACAAATTGCATGTTGGGCTGTTCATCTCCCCAGGCTTTCCAAAGCTTCAGGATTCTAGTGAGTGGAGGAAGAGCCCTCTCAGAGCCTCTCCACTTTTCTATGATACAGTAATCACTGGGCTTCCCCAGAAGGAATCGTTTTTCTCCAAATGTAGTCTCATGTTCCTCAAGCAAAGCCTGAATGACATCAGCAGAGGTGGTACGTTTAGTTAACCCACAGACAATCTTTTCTTCTTGGCAAACCCAAACCACAATTTCCTTCTCTTCTGAATCCATGTCCTTAGTTGGAGATCTGAAAGAAAAACAAAACACATTGTATTTCTGTCATCACCTGTGTAAACTCAGAAAGATGGTTTAACTCTAATACCCTTTCTAGATTTGATGCTGAATGAGAGAGGCATTTTGAGGTTTGAGAGTACATAAGAATCCGTTATCCTGCAAGTCAAAAAAGTTTAAGCCATGGAAAAAATATTAATTTATTTTTTAATTTCTTAGTAGGTCCAGTAAAAACAAATTGTCATCAAAGACAAATGATGTTATTTTAAAGTCTCTTGTATGTAAGAATAAATATCTAAAAAAAAAAAAAGATAGGATGATATTGGTTTGAGTTCATTAATGAAAATAGTCATTCTTTCAATTACAAATGTTTACTGTATGCCAACTATATGTCAAGACTTGCCTGCCAGTGCAAAGGATACAAAAACAAAGGACACAGAACACAGACATACATGTGTAATTAATAGCTATAGTGGTAAATGCTAAGAAAATTAAACTGAATGAAGGAAACAGAATGATTGAGGACAGGGAGGCCTGTTTATTACATTTAGAGTTGCATAAAAGAGGTAAGTCTAAGAAGGTCACGTTTGAATAGGGATCTAAATTATGGAAAGGAGGCAGTTGGAGACTAGAGGAATGAATTCCAGGAAGAATGAGCAGTGGGGTTATGCCCTGGGGCAGAAGAGGCATAAATGTATTTGGAGACAGAATAGTGGAATTGGGGTTGTTGGTGGGAGAGGTCAAATCATAAAGAACAAATAGTGAGATCTAACAGAAAAGGTGAAGCTTTGCAGGCCATACTAAGGCGTTTATATTATGTTCTAGTTTTATTGAGAAGCCCCTGGAATCTTGTAAACAGAATAAGAACGTGACCTATTTTATACTTTACGTGTATCTCGCTTCTGTTTATGCACTGGACTATTAAAAAGGGGAAAGTTGGAAGCAGGGAAGCCTAGAGGGAAAAGTATTACAACAATATAAGAAAGAGACAAGACTGCTGAACTGTGATTTTGTAATAGACATGTAAGTCTGAGTTGGGATAATATCAAGTTAGGACTTCATGGTCATTTCATTTGTAGTATAAAGGGGTGGGGAGATAAGGAACATTTTTCTGAAAAAAAAAAAAAAATCAAAGACACAGTAAAAGAAAACAGGTTCCATGACTTCTAGTGATAACTACTGGAGTATTTTTAAGATATTTTCATTGTGACTATAAATTATCTTTCATATATCACTTTAAAGAATGCTAAGAATCAAATGCTATGAAATGAACTACAATGCAATATGATTTATGTAGACATAGCTTTTTGAGTAGTAATTAGTTTGTTGTGAATGTCAAGTAAAAGTCATTATTTATTTATATGGCACTCTCAAAGCATATGACTCTATAAAACATAAAAAAAGATTTCCCTGACTTCTAGAATCTTTTAACACTTAGAATTTATAGTGTTTATGTTTTAGGAGCAACGATATAAAATATATATCATCTTTTTTTTAAATTAAATAATTATTATACTTACTGGTTCTCCTGAGGTCACAAAGTAACTACTAAGTATAAAAGAACAAATTAGTGACAATTTTATAACATCACAGATTAGATTTATTTTCTAACAGAGTGCCCGATCAAATTTAAGCGTTGAAATACACTAAATAAAATTTTATAATTATTCAGAAACTCATATTGAACTGTGATTTTTCTCTTAAAAATAGTTTACATCTAATACCTATTAAATAATGTGATATTTTGAAGTAAAGGTGTTAATTAATAATGTTTACATTCCTCATTTATTAATTCCAAGCAATAAATATGTAGCTTAGAATTTAGATTAATAAAATTTCTTGCATATCCTGATTAGTAGAGAAATAATACGCAAATACATTTGAAACAAAACTAAGTAGTGACATTACACTCTATAACGGCTTAAGAGCATTAATCACTACTATATTAACATTTACCTAGAACGTTTTACATGTGTGTGTATAAACAAATTTAATATAAACTTTTTGCTTTTCTAAAGGTTTATTTGTACATACAGAACTGGGGTACAGGCCAGAGGCTCAGGGGCGGTGAGAGGCTTCACCAGAGACAGAGTGGGGAACAGAACAGGCAGATTGACGAAGTACACTGCTGAGGGGAGCAGCGGGTTGGTCAGGAGAGGTCTGCCACACCATGTGGTCAGCTCCGGGCAGGCGGGAATCGAACTCACGCGGAAGTGGCTTTAGCTTCTCAGTGTAGTGCTTTAACCCGCTGCGCCACCAGGGAGGGCCTAATATAAACTTTTTTAATAGCATGTAGTTAGTTTAGTTATAACTTGTGTAGTTTGAAAAGAAGTAAAACATACTTTGTATTTATTGTGTATTAAATTATAAACAAACTACATTATTAAATTTTTTATAATCATGGTAAAAATAACAAAGCTGAATAATTTTTATAATTATTAGCCTTACATAGTAATGCTAGATAGCATTCATGCATTAAATCATTTTGAAACTAAGCACACCTTTATTTTATACTGTTTTTTAGTGTCCATAGTTCCTATTTTAAAAGCAGCTTAAAAAAAAAACACATAAATCATATCACATTAAATATGTAACAAGCACTGTTGTAAGCTCTTGCATACAACAAGGTATTTAATCACAAATCTCTAAATCAAATAATATTTCCATTTTACAGATTTAAAAAACCTGAGACACAGAGGTTTTAGTAACCGGACATCCCACTATTAATGGTGCAGTGAGGATTCAAGCCCAACCAGAAAGCTGAGTCCAAAAAGAGATTCTATTACACCATAAAAACAAACTTACTAACTGGGTGATTTAGACATGATTTGAATTGGGGAAAGGATAATAAAATAACTTTTTTAAAGAGGAACTTTATCACACAAAGTAAACTTTAATGGCACAAGAATTATAGAGCATTCAATTGATCAAGGACATAGTTTTCCCAGTGACCAACCATGTAGAAAAATGTGTGTGAATAGGTCAACTTCCGAACCTTTTTCTTACTAGTTTTGTTCCCACTCTGAGTGGTAATAATGGATATCTGACTTGCCTGCTCCATTAAGCTGACAAAACTCACACATAGCCTTATTGTTATTTATTTAGCAAACCTATGCCCTATTCCATTTTCTATTAGGAAATACCATTTCCAGCTCTGTCATTTCCAGATAACCTAGATTCTCCTCAGTCCTATACTACATTTGTATTGGAGACTGGGACACAGAGATCATGGTATCCTTTTGCACTGTTGAAGAATAATAGTGACGTACATAATCATTCCCCAATACTTCCCTGACCTACACTTCAACTGAGAGCCTTCTGGTCTTGGAAGTATCAAGTTCTTATTCACTGTTGCTTCCCCAGTGACCTACTAGTTTTCAGTTCATTTGATAATGTAACACTAATAGTCATGAAGCACAATCAGTAATACCATTATTATTTCCACATTACATATGAGAAAATTTGTGCCTTTATTGATAACATTGTGTTCTGACTGTTTCATGTGTCCTTTAGTCAAGTTTTCCCTAAACATCCTTGTATTTTCTTGAATTGGTTATTTATAAATATTTTGAGGAATTTTTACCACCATCATCATACCAGTTCATTTGCAAAAATTCTACCACTTGACTGAACATGTCTAAAAGTAATAAGCATTCATTACTAGATTTAGGCAATAATTCTTCCATACCTAGTTAAAGCTTCATCATGCTTAAATTTGACTTTGTAGCAGGCTTATGATTTTTGAAAACTATATTTTCTAGTGTGGTTCCAAGTGGGGTCCTGTTCATTCAACAAATATTTCCTGAGAACCTCCTCTGTGGTTGACACTGTCATGGAAATATGGATGTTGGAAAGACATGTATGATTTATAAGATTGTAACCCTACATTACTGGGGGAAACAGTGGCTGGATTGGGAACTGAATTTAGTATCAGTTCTAGTGCTAAGATTCTAATTGCACCAGAACTAGACTGATGACCTTCAGCATCAAGTCATAGAAAATTCAAATAAGAATAGAAAGAGGATAGAAAGTAAATATTCACCAAAATTAAACACAAATTTGTAAAATAATTATTTTTATGTGGTCACCTACCCAAGCAAGCCTTGTTATATAATGTAAGAATTTAACACTATGAACTGGTACTAAGAAAATGGTCCCTTACCAACTTTTGGAAATCTGCTCTCTAGTAGAAGTAATGATGATTACAATAACATACACAACAAAAGGTTAAATATACACTCCTATACCATGCTGTACATTGCTGCCTCAAATAGAAAACATTACAAAAAATACAAATGTTGAACAAATTGTTAAGTAATTTAAAAAATAGTTCTTACTTAATCATTGAAATCTAATGGCAACAGAGAACACAACAGAGAACATGCATTGCATGACTAAGTGATACCTTTGTTTTGCTTTGTTTTTTTGTTTTTGTGTGTATTTCTTGGAGAGGAGAGCATAACATTTTTATTGGGTATCAAACTACCTAAAGAATATATTAAAGTCACACAAAAACTGAAAACTCATATAGCTTTAATTTATAAAATACCATCTCTCAGTAATTCACCTCTAATGTCTATTTCTAGCCTAAAGTTTCAGCTATGTTTATAAACAACCTCATTATCTATGTGATTTATATTGTTTCTTTTCAGCTCCCCGTAATTCACACTTATGCACTCATTTTTACTTAATAGTAAAAAATAAAAATTTCCTGCATATTGAAAATGATAATTAGTATTTTCAATCCAGCAACATTACTCTTATTTTAGACAATTCTTGCCTTGTAGCATTCTTGATTTAGAACTCAGGTATTTGGCAGTTACTAATAGCTTCATTTTACAGATGAAGGAACAGAGACAAAGGGAAGGTAAATAACTTGCCTAAAGTCACAAAGTTTAATTTATGTGATAAAGTTCCTTTTAAAGAGATTTTATTATCATTTCCCCAATTCAAATCACATCTAAATCATTCCATTTATAAGTTTGTTTTTATAGTCTAGTAGAATCTCATTTTGAG